TTTGAACATTATTATTCGCTTTTTTATATCTTCTACTTGAATTTCAATGATTTGAGCATAATGATCAGATAGCCTGAAGTCTTCAACTTTTATTTGGTAATCAGAATCATATCTGATGATGAAATTATCTAGACAAGTACTTGATTTAGCCGTTACTCTGGTTGGTTATTTGATAGTATATATCATGTTGAAACATGCCAGCTGATCACTGAAGAGATTGAGTTCTCTGCTTTCAACTCCAAAATTTATGTTATAATCCCCGCCTAGTATTATGTTTTCATATTTATCACTTAGTAATGTCAGTAACCTGTATGAACAATTGAGAAAACATTTAAAGCTACCCGATGGAGGTCTATTAATACATGCAAAAAACGTTTTGTTTCCAGATAACGCAATGCCGCCACATTCAAAGACCCCTTCAATGCAGAAATTGGTTAAATCAATTATTGAAATTTCTAACCTGCTTTCATCATTATTATGAATTGCTACACCACCATTTTCAGTAAAAACTCTACAAAAATACGAACACAAACTAAAATTTTTCAGTTTTATAACATCAAGTTGCATATTGTTTTGCCAGTATTCTGAGATGAACAATAGGTTACATTTAAGTTCATAGTCCGTTATTTCATCAACCTGTAGAATTTTGTTGCCAAGACATTGGATATTTTGATGACATACAGTTAAAGTTCTTTGATTCTTAGCTATTTCACAATCAGGATTGTCGAATTGATATATGTTTCGATTAAAAAAATCATCATTTATGGAACATTTATTGGAGCTACTTCTGACAGACGTGGGTATGAAAAATTTTCATCTGGGTTTTCTGTTAAGATAGTGTTTTTCAAAGATTCTTGTAATTCATTGGCTAGAGAGTTATTCTGGTGTGAAAAGTAATTTACATCTACCGTGGTAGAAGGCATCTTTCCTCCTTCACTTGTGTTGGTTATGTTGTTTAATCCCATTACATATTCCCAAATAGCTTTACTTATGCACCATTTACCTCTTGCTAATATTTTGTATCCATTCTGGTGGTAATTAGACCTCCTGAGAATGTTATTGCAATCTAGTATACACGTGTGAGGTAAGTTCATGTTTTGTAATCCTTTTTTCAACTGCAGATTTCTATGGTATATCAAATCTAAATTTTTTCTGTTGTCATATCTGTAGGGCTGTGTGATGATTACATGATTTGTGTGCTGCACCTTTGGAACAAATTTCTTTAAAATATCGGTACTTGTTCTATCTGTCCACAAGACAACTACATCCTTATTTGATAGGTTCTCTGAGTGTTTTATTGCAGTCTCAATCAGAGTATCTGTAGTACTATTGGGTTTAAGTATTGCTTGTATTGGGTAATTAGGTATATTATGTGTTGTCATGAATTTGGCAATATTTTTTCCATTGTGTCCAGCTATAATACCATTTATACTGTACCATTTATGAAATTTATCAAAAATAAATATGGCAATCTTTCATTCAATGAGTTGAAAGAAATAATAAGGAATGAATTACAAGATGAGGCTTTATTGTGGTTCAATAATAAGAAGAGTTAATGAATTTTGAAGGATGTTCAAGCATATTATAACATATTTCTGGGGAGCATCACAATAAAAATTAGTAAAAGACGAATTATTAGGTAGAAAATTGAATCGAAACAGAGGAAAGTCATATCAAAAATATGTTATGCAAATTGATAGATAAAACTTCCTCTTGAAGATGATCACTTGGTGATCGAAACACGTGTCGAGGTGTAAAAATAACGATTTGGTGTTGGGAAAAAACTCCAGTAATATTCAATTTTTAGTAACCCAGGAAAGATGGAGAATACCTAAATTATAACAATTTACAAAAAAAGCCAAACAATCACAACAGAAATGAATATAGGAAAAAAGAAAATAATAAAAATTGTGAAAATGATTACAATAATAGAAATACAATTTCAAAAACTACACCTCTCGATTTGATCTTCACAAACTTTGTGGAGAAGTCAAAAATTAACAAATAAAAAGTGGTAGAAGATAATCAAAAAGAATGAATAAAAAGCAAAGACATAAACATATTTGAAAAGGAACAATTAGTACTAATAAGGGCAAATCGGGTTACATATCTGAAAAATAATAAATATGCGAAGTTACTTCAGATATTTGAGGGAACATATGAAAAAGAGAACGAAAACAATATAAATAGTTATAGATCAAAATATATAGACAAGGAAAATATTCAAAATTAATGACATTTATTTATATAACCAATGATAATGAAATAATAGAAAAACATTTCATAATTTGTTATGAAGTAGACTATGTGAGAACCCAAAAGGAAATTTTCAACATCTCAGGAAAACGCTTGAAAGGGGCAAATTTCATGAGCAAAAGTGCATTTCTATAACCGTAAGTCACGTGACAAAGTGAGGGAAATGTAAAGAATTCAAAAATTTTGTATGAAATTAATTATTTTGGAATACATACAGCAGACCGAATTTGTACAACACTATCGAACATAAATAATATTGTATCTGTTGTGGAAAATTAGAAGAGACATAGTAAAATCATTAGCATTATTTGGAAATGATGAAATGTTCGAAAAGAAGACGAGTAAAAAGCTTCCTTAGTTACTAACATTAAATGATGCTTTCATGAAATTGAGATATTCAGACATAAGTGAGGTTATGAAAAATTTGTTAATATATTCAATTCAATTCAATTTTATTTTTCTTTCGATATAAAAAGATACTTAGATATACATACATTATTAAAACAGTTATCCTTCAATATCTCAAAGGTTCTCATAAGCAGTCGAGGCGCTTGTTTTTTGCATCCCATTGAAAGAAATCAGGATTTTCATTGGGCAATTAAAATGAATGGTAATCATAGTATACAGCTACCGGATCATGGCAGGTGGAAGAAATCGTCTCTGCGTGAAGTTTGGGTCGGTGTATGACAAAGAAAGTATTAGAAAAAAAGTAATAGAAACTTTTTTTGCAATTTTATGTTTACGGTTCGAATGATCTAACAGAATAATGTAACAGACAGATTTTTACACATCTACTGCAAATCTTGTGGGAGGGGCTTCTCACTGGCCGTGACTCCGGCAGCTGTACATACGAGTATTAATGTACTGGTCTCAAAGAAAATATGCATTCTCTCTATGAGTGGAATTCTTGTGTAAATTTATAAAATTCAATAAATTAATTATTATTTTTTCGTTGACATTGTTTTCTAATTTATTTTTTCATTGTGTCACCTCACTTAATTTTTGATTTATTATTTGTTTCATTTTCTCATATAACATTTCAGTCTTCGGAGCGATTGATGTGGCAAAGATCCATGTCGTTATTCATATTTATATTACAATGATGAGGTTCATTCATATGAACTTATAAACAAACACACGTACAAACATATATGTCTTCCTTCATCCAGATACACAACTGACTTAATCAACCATATATTTCTGTTTGAAGGTGATTGACAATGTTTCATGATGAATTTCTTAGTTATTATTTCTTAGTATCAAGCAAAAAACCTGAAGTGAAATAACAGTAAAATAAAATACAAGTAAAAATAGAGCAATTGTATAATGATATGAAAATAAAAAGTTGAGAGATTTCAAGCCAAGTTACTTCATGACGTTTCGATTGTTAGTATCCACAATCGTGTCGGGTGATGACTGGACTAATTCCTATGTTATATGTCATTCGAGAACTTTCACTTATTTTCGCTTTGCTTTGCCGCTTCACCGGTTTAGTGGGAGATGACCGTTTGGCGGGAGTTGGCAATTTTTCGCTCAATTATGGGTTTCCATAATAAGTGATAAGTGAAAGTACCCGAATGATCCCTGAATAGTCATCTCTCAGAGAAATTAGTCCAGTCAATTAATCAATCAATATTTATTTCCATTTTACGTCTGTTTTAAAATCTGTATTTCCCTTAACCAGCTGTCGCACCCCTACGAACTACAACCCTCAGAAGTCAGAACTTGTGCGAGCTAAGGATTAACGAGGTCTTACCTTTCAAAGTGTGATTCTTAATACGGTAACATGGCCTACATGTATTGGAATGATCAATTGGCAGGTAAAATTGGTACAATAAAATAAAATGAAAATTTACATCAAAAAAGAAAAATAAAAAGGTTGAAATACACTTACACTGAAATTTACATCACACATAGTCACATATTATGAATTTTTATAAAATCACATAAACTATAAACTATAAAAACATATTTTCATTGAAAAGTTCTTCAACTCATGTTTAAATGAAGACAATTTATTTATATCCTTCTCTTTCTCTGGGAGAATATTTTGAGGCCAAAATGATCAGGAGCACATGAATTTATTTTTCTTTTTGCAAAATTTGAATAAAAATGTTACATTTTTCTTGTTCCATAACTATGAATATCCGAATTGCGAATAAAAGTGTTCTTATTTTTAAAAACATGGACACACGTTTCGAACATGAAGAATCATCCGAAGACGATTGTAGATACTAACAATCGAAATGTCGTGAAGTAACTTGGTTTGGTATCTCTAATTTTTTTATTTTTATTTTATTGTTCAGTTGTTCTATTTTTACTTGTATTTTATTTGGCTATTATTTTATTTCAGGTTTTTTCGCTTTTATAAGTTTATTATTTTCAGCTATTCATTTTTATTTTCTTTTTATTAGTTCTTTCAGGGATTTCAAATCATTTTATATGATATCAGATAATAGAAGTCCAAATTAATGAAATTCATATATATTTCTCCTAGTAACTTCACTAGTGTTATATAGTTGAGGTTAATGAATTGTTTTGTACCAGTTTCATTTTTGTTAAATGAGAGGTTTTCTTTCAAACTGCAGTCTAGTAACTTAGGTTGCAATTTAGGTGCAATTTAGGTCCGAAATAGAAAATTGTTCGTTTAGTATGTTTTTTAATGGACTTTGTTACATTTGAATTTTCGATAGATCTAGTATTTTTCATCTTTTNTGATATTCAACTGATTCAAATTTTTTTAGACGGATCTATCAAATGCATTTGGCGTGTTATCGAAATCAGATATTGATGGTTTGGTAATCTGGGGCAGCAGCAACGATGTTAATTCAAAACAAAAATGTTTAGATCTATATCACTATATTGATAACACTTTAGGACCTCTTTTAGTAAATAGTTTTTAGGTTAATATTTTTACTGGATGTATTTATTAAACACTGCCATTTTAAAAGTGACATAATTTTTTTGTCTTCATGTTCAACATATTCCTCAGTCAAAAGACAAATGAGTTCTTAATCGGAACATTAGAATAAACCAACTGTCTCTTCCCCTAAACAATATTCAGCAGACAAGACATTATCATTTATTATTACTCGAGTTCTATCCGAACACCAAACCATTATTTTCAGCACCTCGACACGCATTTCCATCACCAAGTGATAATCTTCAAGAAGAAGATTAAACTGTCTACATACAATGTTCCCCTCATTTATACCATAGATAACTCTGCTAGGTACCTGCGTTTTAATTGTCTTAAAATCAATTTCACAATGCTGCCTTCTAGTCTTCTAGTCAGGTACATCTGATAACTAAAAATATTATTTCAACAAGCTATATAGTTAACTATTAGGTATTGGGTCACCATCGTTATTCATAATATTATTATGTTGACTTATTTCTAAGCTCTCATAGGCATCTTAATGTCTGTTGTTAACTTGTCTAACTAATCTTACTGGAGTGAAGTTTATGGAATGTTTTTGTTGAAAAACATGATGGGCGACTGCTGATTTTTCTGCTCTTCCATAGTTTGGCATGCTAAGTGTTCCTTATATCTTATTTTAATAGATGTCTTAGTCTGTCCATAATACTTTGCATCGCAGTCCTTACATTTAATTTCGTAAATTTCAGACTTTTCCGAATTCCCGACTTTGTCCTTTAGATTCTCTAAAAAGTTCTGTTGTGTATGACTTGTTTTAAATACCACCTCCACACCTAGTTCCTTGAAAATCTTTCCAAAGTTTTTCGTGTATTGGTAGTATGGAACTGAGATATATTTATCTTGGTTTTCGTCGTTTCTAAAAGTCGAGAATTCGTTCATTCTTAACCTAAACATTTTCTTCCTTATAATATCATCTACATACAATACCCCTCGATAAATAGCTACTGACTACTATTTCCTGTTTTGTCACTTTTTCTTTTGTAAACCTCTCGTGTGTGAGAGGATGTGGAGCGCGATAATCGTTGTCACCAGATCAGAAAAACGTTGAAATCCGTTCTGATCACACGGATTTAAAATTAGTAGTTGGCTTGATCAACAGATGAAATTGCTATTCTTTCACCTTCACAGAGCAGTCGGCTTGATTATTTTTTCACAAGTCAAGTATATATTCAATATTGCATGTAAAAAAAAATTTACAATTTTTTTTACACAATGGGGTTAGATTTGCTCTCTGAGTAAAACATACCTAGGCATAATTGCATGTGTGTGTGTTTCATCCAGGACTTCTAAAAAAAAAACTATTAGTATTGTACACAAAATTATCTTGAAAATTTTAAAAATTTTGCCGGGCAAAGATTCACAAGATAAAAAAGATATAAATAAGGAAGGTAATTAACTCTTATGTACAGCATAACTTCAAAACACCTGTATATTTTATGTGTACACGTATTTTTACCAAAAATCTGAAAGATATTCGACGATTTGTAGAGGACAGGGATAGCAGCAAATGGTGGGTGTATTCCCTATCGCGTTTTATAGAAAGTTTCCTTGTTTTTCAGACACCAGGAACAAAATTTTAATTTCATTTCTGGTGTCTTCTTGGCTTTCATTCAAGTTGAAAACTCTCAAATTTGATAGCCTGGTATTTTGATCCATGAAATCTAATTTCTCTTCATAAATATTTGTTTTCATAACCACTTCTTTAATTTCTTGGTCAAATTTTTCAACTTTGTCTTTTAATTGCTTACTTTCAGGTTCGGTTTTATGTTTCAGCTCCGCCACTGTTCTCTCCAAATTTAAAAAACTATCGTTTATCGTTATTGTGATGGCCTGTGTGACTTTGGATATGATTTCTTTCATGTTTAGCTCTCTTTTTATGGATTCGCTTACCACTTTACTCACTACCAATTCTATTTCATCTCTCATTGGAGAGGTATTTATGTATTCAGTCACTGTGTCACTTTTCACAATTTTTATCCACGTATGTTACCAATTATGTCATTAGAGGGTGGATTCCGCTACGATCTAAATTTATGGTCTTTTAACGGTTTGAGGGAATTAAATAATATGACCAGAGTTTTCACAAACTAACTTTATTGATGAATAAAATAGGCGAAATAGTCAGACAAGCAGTTGATAAATAAAAAATAACAAAAAAACGACTGAAGTCTAGACCTAAACAGATCAATATCGATACCTTTTCCTCATTTCTGTATAATTAAATGTTAATATAACCGTGGAAAACTTTATAAGAGAAAACAAATTTAAAAAATGGCAAGATTATTAGAACCTGAATAAAGCAAGATTTGAATACTTGACTTTTTTTATGAGTTTTATGTTTTCTGGTGGGGGGAAATTATGTTTGTTTTGTATGGCGTGTGTTGCGAGGTTTGATTTATATATTATTGGGTTTATGTATGCCTTTTTGTGCTCATTGTACCTTTGAAAAAAGAAAAAGAAGAAAAAAAGAAAGAAGAAAAAACTGATCCACCAGAGAAAGGTAGAGAACCACCTATATTGGTGTGACACTCAAGTCAACTGGCCAAGTTTTTATGTCAGTGTTGGTGGTTTGACCAATCAACCGACAACTGCGGTGGCATATGAATGTCATATTTGGGCGATACATTCATGGTCAGCAAGTTAGTTTGTAATTCGTCTTATCTGATAAAAATTATTGGGATAATACATTTTATACCTCGCATTGGACATATAGGCCTACTTCCTACTTTACCCGCCTCCCTTCAACTCCGACTTTGGGCAACTCATAATATCGTTTAATATTTGTAACTCTTTTTCACAATAGAAGGAACAGAGCTTTACACGTTATCTATATATCACAATTACATTAGCATTCACAAAACCCTTCCAAGGTCTTTTTGATTACAATATTGAAAAAAGTTCGAATTTATTTACATATCTTTGAATTTATCAACTGTTTCTTTTTTTTTTCAGAATTCAATGGTTGTTTCTAAATGATGATAATTTCTATCCATCTATTTATTTGCCAAATCTGAGATTAACTGAAAATGAAAAAGTTCAAATGATACAAGGACGAATAGAAGAGTCTCGTAGAATAAAGAAGCAATTCAATAGAACATCAAAAATGTATCTCTAATTTTTTTATTTTTATTTTATTGTTCAGTTGTTCTATTTTTACTTGTATTTTATTTGGCTATTATTTTATTTCAGGTTTTTTCGCTTTTATAAGTTTATTATTTTCAGCTATTCATTTTTATTTTCTTTTTATTAGTTCTTTCAGGGATTTCAAATCATTTTATATGATATCAGATAATAGAAGTCCAAATTAATGAAATTCATATATATTTCTCCTAGTAACTTCACTAGTGTTATATAGTTGAGGTTAATGAATTGTTTTGTACCAGTTTCATTTTTGTTAAATGAGAGGTTTTCTTTCAAACTGCAGTCTAGTAACTTAGGTTGCAATTTAGGTGCAATTTAGGTCCGAAATAGAAAATTGTTCGTTTAGTATGTTTTTTAATGGACTTTGTTACATTTGAATTTTCGATAGATCTAGTATTTTTCATCTTTTCGATATAGTAAATAAGTTTTTTATTATACTCATTATCTTATGTTATACAATGTTGTATAAAAGAGAAATGTAGCTAAATTTGGAACTTTGTAATGGAATAATGAGTTAACTACTATTAGAAATATGAAACTTCGAAATTTGAATTGTGACAATTATAATTATTTTAGTAGTAGTTATATTTTATTTGAGCAAGAATCTACCTGAGGTATTGAGAAAAATTGCTTTATATTGAGATTTATGAATTTAAACCCAACAAAAAAGTTAACCAAAATCAATATGAAACATTAATAATGAACAAATTCAACAATACAATAAATATATATATATATATA